GTCACAAACTGTTTCCCAAATATAAAAAAAAAAAGTGCAGCACAAACATTCTTATAATTATCTCCTTCCATCGTACAGGCCCTTGAAATGAAATTATACTGAGCAAATGATAATTACTCTCTATTTGGGTGAAATATATCTTTAAGAGCGCACTTTTTTCCCTTTTATTAAGAAAGTGATGCAACTATTTGGCAGTATAAGCAAACGACAATACTGTATAATCCTCAAAGATCAAGCCCAAGCACATTTGCAGATTTCTTAAGTTCGCACAGCAGTGGACAGACACACGCAGACGGGCTGCCTATTTCACTGCATTACACCACCAAAACAAATCACTCTCCTTAATTAAACTCCAGAGGCCAGAATGTTGCTGAATCACAACGAAACCTCCTCATTAATAACAGTGGTTAAACCCCAGAGGTGGTGGAAAGGTGAGAACGCAAGGTGAGAGCGAACACGAGCGAGTCTTGCTGATGTACCCGACTTCAATTCAAGGTTACAAATGCGCCTTAAAGAGGAAAATCTAGTTAAACACCAGAGGCTGCTTTTCCAGACATGCAATAAAACGAGTCCTTGACTGAAGCACAAATCAACACCAACTGTCAACACAAAACCGCCACAAGGCCTGCACTAATATTTTGGTAAAATAAAATCTACATTTTCATGTTCTCTTTGTGAATTTTAAGCTTGGTTCGCTCAAGTATGTGTAGCGCTTGAGGTGTTTAAGTGTCTTATTTCCTGAGCGGTTTCTGAAAACTATAACAAGATTTAAAATAAAATAAAATCTAAAATAAAATAAACTTAAAAATATTAAATATTTTTTGAAAATTAAAATGAAAATAAAAAATATGAAATAAAAAATTAAATAAAGTAGAAAATTTTATATAAAATGAAAAAAAATATGGAATGAAATTAAATAAAATAAAATAAAAAATGTATAAAAAATAAAATATAAAACAAAATAAACAAAAATATATAATAAAATAAAAAAGCTAAAATATAAAATAATATATACAATATAAAATAAAAAATAAAATAAAGTATAAAATATAATATAAAATAAAATACATAAAAAATATAAAAAGTAAAATAAAAAATAATAGAAAATAGAAAATAAACATAAAAATATAAAAAAATAAAATATAAAATAAAATTTTAAATAAATAAAAAAAAAAATAATAAATTTATTTAACATTTGAATGCTGATGAGCGCGTAAACACAATGGCCAACCAGCAGTGTTTAAGAACGTGCTCAATGGTGCTCAAATGTTAGCAGAAAATGGATGTTTTAAAAATTTCAGTATTGATTGGTTCCAAACTCGATAATTTCGACAACACTAATTAACACAGTGTAACTATAGAAGAGTCGATCTTTAAATAGGAAAATGATCAAAAACCTTTTAGAAAATTTTTTTTTTAGAGTGAGGTGCTAATGGTCTAATCCGATTCAATAATTTATGCTAAGCTAAGCTAAAGTGCTCCTGCCAGAGCCAGGGATCCGCTAAACAGATTCAAAGAGGCTAAAACTCAACGGTTTAACTTTAGGGGAGTAGTAATGTGAGCTTATCGAAGTCATCCTTTAACAAATGAAACCTTACTGTAAACTAGAAGCCACCCAAGAAGAGTGCAGCAGACATTTATGATGCAGAAATAAAACTGCTTTTGTTACAAGCTTTGCCGCGGTTTCATTTCTCTGTTTTTATCTTCAGCCAATTTGTTCATCCGACTTCAGATCAATAAAACAGTTTCCATGGCGACTCGTAAGCAGAGAAAGTTGTTGATGGACCAGTGTGGAGGCGCTTTATGCAGACGAAAACAGCTTTAGGTTTCTCTGAATGCAGAGATTTTATAGACTAGCCGTCACTCGCGGGGAACGAGACATCGGAGGCAGTGGACTGAAAGAGCATCGACCCTGTCAATCAAAGCACGGCCCACATCAGGTGATGAGAGTCAACAGCTGCAGCATCAGCTCAAAAACACACACACACAAACACACACACAACAACAAAAATCAGCCATCTTGGAAAGTCTCCGCCAGTCGGCCCATTTCACAGTCGGCTGGCAGCGCTAATGGCTTTTTTTTCAGCCCGCAAAAAGCCACAACTCAATCACCTCCTACGAGAGAGGGAAAAACACGGGAGGAGACAAGAAAAAAGGCAGGGACAGGCGGACAGCAGCTTGTCCTCTGAGATGCAAGGAGATAAATTTTATTTTTCTTCTGTGGATCAGAACGATGAAAATGGGGAGAATACAGTCTTTTTTGGAGAATATTAAAGGGATAGTTCACCCAACAATAAAAATTATTTACTCGCCCTCATGCGGTTTAAACACAAAAGAAGATATTTTAAAGAATGTTGATGATTGCTGGTTCAAATGAAAAAAATACTACGCAATATTGCAGCATTCATCACAGTCATATTTACATCTTAGTTTTTAATTTAAAAGGAAAAAAAGAAGAAAAAAAGAAAAACATACAAAAAAAGAGGATAAAAGAAGGGGGGGTTGGGGCACAGGCTGTTTTTATTAGAAACAGATCATTCCAGATAAGACATTTGGAAGAAATTGTTCAAAATATAAGTAAAATCGCCCATAGAAGTTAAACACAAGACCATCAATATTATAATGGTTTCTAAAATGATTTTACCATGGTTAAATAAATCTTGGGATATGGTGGAATATGTAAATACTGTAGGCCAAGTCAGTGTCAATTTATTTAGCCTTTTCCTGTTTTGTTTAGTAAATTGCTGAAATATATATTATATTATATTATATTATATTATATTATATTATATTATATTATATTATATTATATTATATTATATTACATTATTTTATATTATATTATATTATATTATATTATATTATATTATATTATATTATATTATATTATTTTATATTATATTATATTATATTATATTATATTATATTATATTATTTTATATTATATTATATTACATTATTTTATATTATTTTATATTATATTATATTATATTATATATTATATTACATTATTTTATATTATATTATATTATATTACATTATTTTATATTATATTATATTATATTATTTTATATTATATTATATTATATTATATTATATTATATTATATTATATTATATTATATTATATTATATTATATTATATATTATATTACATTATTTTATATTATATTATATTATATTATATTACATTATTTTATATTATATTATATTATATTATATTATATTATATTATATTATATTATATTATATTATATTAAGTAGCACACAACTTTACTTTAAAGAATAATAAAAACAGGCATAAAAAAAAAACTATTTATTTGCCATTACTGGAATACATTTCATTTATAAATACATTGAAATGCATTTTGATCCAGCTAAACTCAAAGGGATGCCCCGTTACGCATTGATTCTGTGTTGACAACGTCATCAAAACATCCAGTCCATAAGTCAGCAAGAGGAAGGTTAAAAAAATGGCAGCAAGCTAAAGCGAGTATACAAACTCTGACAGTTTAAACCACCCAAATCAGCAAGCTGCCATTGGCAATTGCTGGGAAAACTCCTGGAGGAGAGGCAATGTGTTGCAGCTGTGAAACAATAACACAGCCCACTGGATCTCTAGCAGTCTCTGTCTGCGAGGGGAAATGGGATTTTGCTTTATTGCTATGAGACCTTCCTGAGACCGTTGTTGAGAAGTAACTGTAACCATCAGCAGTGCTAAATGAACTTTTATTTGTTTGTTTTTTCAAGCAGAGTGACAAACATATATGTTACTTTAAGTGTGGAAGCTGTTTAGTAGTGTCACAAAACACTTGCATTGTATGGTACTGCATAAATGGCATTGTATCAAGCATCAACAGAGCCTGAAGCCATCAGAGATTGGCAAGTATTGTATAAAGGTTACTTTGTATTCTCTATTGGATTCGAGTCAGGTGATTGACTGGGCCATTCGACATCTTGATTTTCTTTCTCTGAAAGCATTTGAAAGTTTCCTTGCCTGTGTTTTGGACCATTATCTTGCTGAAATGTCCACCCTGGTTTCATCTTCATCATCTTGCTAATGTAGCAGCAAATATTCATTTCCAATGATGAAGATCAGAGGGTTGCTGAAGAACTGCAGAGAGATTTCAGCTGCTGTCTGAGCTTTCTTCACGTGTCTAATACTTTTTCACTGCGTCATTTCATTTCATTACACAGAACTACATTTGTAAACTAATTCATAATGTTTTCTTTGCATATTGTCAACAACATCTGGTGAACATTTCAAGTCATTAGCACCTTTTGAAATATGTTTTCAGAAAAAAATGAAGACGTTCAATACTTATTTCCCCCATTGTATGTATCGGAAACGTTTAACATAACGCATTTTAGGTTTGCAAGAAATGTAGACAGCACCCTCTAGTGGATCTGTAATCTGAAACGGGCTATGAATCATATTTCCTATGCAACATATTTCCTGAAATGTACGCATTTCAATGAGCCTGGGTTTGCATTCAGAATTAATTTGTATTAATCGCTTTTATTGGGACACGATTAGGTTCTATCTCCATTTTAGTGAAATACACAACACAAAACAAAACCCCAGCTCCGATTACAGCTTCCTCCATCCTACATTTGTGGTCTTTGAGGGTTTGATAATGCTGTCAAATGGTTTAAGTGACGTCAATTGGCCTGAGGTGAGGAGTGGATGGTTAGATCCTGGTGGTTAGTTCCTAGAACTACCTAGTGCAAAAAGTCCCTTATGATGCTGTTCGGGTATTGACATCTTCTTTTACCCTTAAGAAAAGCACAAAAACCTTGACTCGAGTACATCTTGATCTTAACAGCTACCTGAGTCTACTGAACCTGATCTTTAGCATCTAATCCCTGTCACTTTGAACTGCTGTTCAGGCTTCTCAGATGTCTCACTTCCAACAAAAGGCGCCTTTAACCCTAAGGGACATTCTGGATAATTGGGCCATTCAAAAAGGACAACGGAGCTGTCAATCAAACAGCACTTACCCAAGCACTTGTAAGGCACCACAATGTGAGCGTGGCCCTTGCACTGCTTCTTGTCCTTCTTGCACCAGTTCTCGATCTTGACAGGCTGGTTGGCCTCCACCACGTTGGTGATCTGCAGCTCGGGATAGATCTGAAGGGAAGGAGAGCGGAGAAATTCAGGCTGTACAGTAAGCAGTGATCCATGCTTCACAATCTCCAGACGCCATCTGCTCATGTATTGGAACAAACACGCAGGATTTACTCCCTCTCCAAATTCAATAAAAGGACATCGATGAAAAGCAATCTCAAAATGTACAGAGATGGTACGGGGTGTTTTGTATTTTACAGCCAGCCATATGACAGATGAGGACAAACTTTAACATTTGTAAGCAAATAGAGTTTTTAATATAGTTCAGGGGAAGATATTTGAGCAGGGCCGGAGTGGGACTCCTTTTCAGCCCTGGAGTTTTAAGCTTTACATTGGCCCACTTCAGTTTACGACTGACTATATTAAAATAACATCATTTCCAATTCAGTTTCTAATGACACTATCAAGTCTTTTTCAAGAACACAGCTGCTTTAGAACTTCAAATGTTTTTCATAAATATGAGAACATTAAAGGGTAGCTAAATCTCTAAAACATCACAATGTTCTTTCCTGCAATTTCTGAATAGATATTCTGTGCAAAATTCTTTAAAAATATCCAGTCCTTTGTAACGGTGGTCACACAAAAAATAAATATAAAATATTTACACCTATACAAGTAACCCAAACAGCATTATATGTCTTTAAAAAAAAGACTACTCGGGTAAGATTTGAACTCTAGTCAAAAGCGTCGTAACGCAACGTAATGACCACTGTAATGTAATGTAATGTGTATTTCTATAGCACATTTATTGTGTATGGCCATACACCCAAAGCACTTCACAATCATGAGGGGGGGGGGGGGGGGGTCTCTCCACATCACCACTAGTGTGCAGCATCCACTTGGATGATGCGACGTCAGCCACAGGACAACAGCGCCAGTGCGCTCACCACACACCAGCTATTGGTGATAGAGCCAATTTGATGGATGGGGATGATTGGGAGGCCATGATCGCAATGGCCTACTCAATGGCACCCCTACTCTTTTACGAGAAGTGCCATGGGATTTTAATGACCACAGAGAGTCAGGACCTCAGTTTAACATCTTATCTGAAAGACGGCGCCCACTGACAGTATAGTGTCCCCTTCACTTTTACTGGGGCATTAGGACTCACACAGACCACAGGTTAAGCGCCCCCTGCTGTCCTATTTAACACCACTTCCAACAGCAACCTAGTTTTCCCATGTGGTCTCCTATCCAGGTAATGACCAGGCTCAGCCCTGCTTAGCTTCAGTGAGAAACCGGTCTTGGGCTGCAGGGTGATTTGGCTGTGGCCACTGGACCACAATGTGTCAGTATGGTGGCAGATTTAAATGCTAATAAGGGAGAGATTGCCACTAATGGGCGGTGCTTTTCCCCTCTGATGACACGTACAACTGGAGAATGTCAATCAAAGTGTTTCTGCAGACAGTTTATAAGAAGTGTGATTAAAAATCTATAAAATGAATACCATTCTACCATTAGAAGCTGGTTATATTCACAACTGCTGCCACACAACTGTGTTTATAAAAGCCCTTATTAAAAGCAATCTTTGCATAATAAGTTCTCTTCAATGATAGCTGTGTTCATAAATCATGGATATGGATAAATGTAGGGATGCACGATATATCGGCGGCCATAACGTTATCAGCCGATAAATGCTATTTTTAAAATGATCGTTATCGATCCGTTGTCTAAATTAGGCTGATATATTTAGGCCAATAAATTACGTAATTGTACAGAACTGCCTGCCTCGCGCATGCGTGGGAGGACCATGTTCAGAGTCAGACTTGTCCATGTGAACTCTCTTCACACGGTTTATTTCATAAAAGTCCATCCTTTCTTCATGTGGTATTGCTGTGCATTAATAACTCAGTAAGTAACCATGTTCCTCATCATTGTAGATATGTTTGATTGAGGGTCATTGTGTATTTTGGTTTAAATCACCTCAGGAAAATTTTTTTACATGTGTAAACGAAACAGCAGCGATACACCCATGCTAAACTACTCGCTGGGCTGTTTGTAATCTAATATGATTATTTGTTATTATCAACGCGTTGCTTGCCATGTGTTGTTGATATAAGATTGTATTCAGTTTGATCGAAATATTCATATCGATTATAAGGGCTGTCACCGCGCACACACACACACACACTCAGAGCCGGCGTGTCCATAGAGGCGACCAACTAGGGTGGAAGAAAAGAGAAGGCACCGTCCGCGACACCAGCCCGGACCTTTGCTGTATAAAAATATACCATTTGGAAATATTTATAATTATTGGCCTACATATATCGGCCTCCAAGTCTGAAGAGTTATCGGTTATCGGTATCGGCCAAAAAAATCCATATCCGTGCATCCCTAGATAAATGTGTGTAGCCTGACTGTACCTCCTGACAGTACTGCAGCACTCCTTCTTTGGTTCCAACGCAGGTTTTAGATCCAGAAGGGTCTGGTTCCCAGCGGCCAGTCTGGATGTTGATGTGCATGTTGAGTTTGCCACAGAACATGGCAACCTGGGGCTCCGCGACGGCAAATCCGGTTCCTGCATTTGCTGCCAGCGCCTGGAAGAAAAGCAAGAGAATTAGACTGGAAGTTAATGGAGATTCTTATTACATGCCAATAAAAGTCGAGCAGGTTCAGACTTGTCAAACACACTCATGTGGTCCTAAATGTCAAGCTGGAATACTCTTATAATCATATGACCAAGACCAGCACGTGTGCAGTGGGTAGCACAATCACCTCACAGCATGAAGTTCACTGGTTTGAGCCCCGGCTGGGTCAGTTGGCATTTCTGTGTGGAGTTTGCATGTTCTCCCCATTTATTCAAATTCTGCATCTGAATACTGTTTGATTCCCCTCAAAAAATCATAAAACACAGTTTATTTCACTGTTATCTTTGGTTTTATTTAGCTAATTTTTGACATTTAATGAACGATTTACTTCCCTAGAGAATCATATCAGTTCGATTCCTGTTTTTGCTTGTGCTGCATTCTGCATATGTGCAACAAATAAATAAATAAAGACATGCCCACAAAACAATCCTCTGCATCTAAAAAAAAAAAAACAAGATGCCATCTGTCTTTTCTCATAAAGAAATATGCCATTAAAGTCAGCAGAAAAAACATAATGAGGACAAATTCAAGCAGACAGTCTCTCCAAGGACATTTTCTTTGTGCTCTGGGGTCACTGTTGACCCTATCAAATACATTTTAACTTGATTTGGCTATGTTTAATACACAGCACCGAGAGTCTGCGAGTCTGAAGCATGCATGCTCACGGAAAGGGTTATATGTCTTCATTTCAGTCTTTAATAAGTCAAAAATATCTTCCTTTGTGTTTTTACAGGTTTGGAATGAAATGAGGGTAGAGGGAAAGTAATTATTGAGAATTTTTATTTTTTGAGTAAACCGTAAACTTTAAAGTCCACATGAACTGGAAGCTGCAAACGTTTGTTTTTTTAGTATTGTGAGAAACAGAATATTAAATGAGAAAACAGTGGGCGTGGCTTGTTTTTTCTACTGCAAGCTGATTGGATGCAGTAAAGTAGGCATTTTATATAGAAAGATCTGGAAAGAATTTGGGGGGAGGAGTTGTTTACCTCAAAACTAGCCACGTGAGCTGACAAAAATCAACATGGTTAGTTTTGACTCTGTATTTCTGCAAATGTCATAATGTCAAATTTAAGACCTTTTTAAGAACATTAAGTATTAAATTTAAGACCTATATCACAATATCAAAAACACGCATACGCAAAGAGAAAATGAAAAAAAAAGAAATCACTAAATTAGTGGCAAATAAATGTATTCAGCATAAACAGTATGGAAGACAGGTTAGATGCACCATTTAACTACAGAAAAAAAAAAACAAACAAACATTTTAAGGCTAATTTATACTATATATGCATCGCGCATCTTCGCTGACTGCACGCGCACCTTAAGCGGACGAGGCTCTTTAAAACGACAGAGACGATCAAACGAAAGCCACCGTAAAATCAGACGGATAAACACAGAAGTAGGAAGTTTCCGGAACTACGTCATTTTATTAATATCGTTCAATATTTTTAAACCAATTATTTTATCATTTATTTTAATGATTATAAAGATTTTTATAACCATACAAGATTTTTTATTCTTCACTTACTTTTGGTCATTTCTCAGATAGTTCTACCTATTAAAAGTTAAATATTAATGACTACAGAACATGGGTCGCTCTACAATTATATTATATAATATATTATATAATACATATTAAATATATTATAAATATATTTATAATAGAAAGAATAAAAGCAAAAAAAAAAAAAAAGTACACTTGCTAAAAAAGACTTTTTTTTTTTTTGCCCACTCAACAATTCACACATTACTGGCTGGTTAGTTTCTGTCCTCTACTTATAGGCTAAAGAGGCAGTAATGGTCCAACATTCTTGACCATAATCACCAATAAAGCCTAAAAAAACAGGGCATCAGCATATTGTAAAATGATGGGTTCCAATATTCTTTTCCAGTTATCAACTCTTGCCGTGTCCTCTTTTGGCTTTAACAAGCTTATCCCTCAGATTTTTCCAAACTTTCTAACAAAAATCTTCTTCCTTTCCCACTGCTGTTGCAATTTCTAGCTAAGAATTATTGTTATCTGGTTTTCCCTATGATCACGCATGGATGCAGCATAAAGGTGTCTGTACAGTCGTACTGTTTCAGACAAAATCTTTTCAAAGTGTTTCATATTCAACTCAAACGAAATGCCGCGGGAACTGTTCGCTAGAGTCTCGAAAAAATGTCCTGCAGTCCGCCAGACAAAATCATGTTGCGCGCACCCGAAGCGAGCCTCCACCTCCACAGTCACATTCATCGCACGCACTGAGTTCAATACAGAAAGCTAATTGGCTATTGTAGGTTGGTCTCATTTGTAGATGTAATACCGTAAATTACATCTGGACTAGTGAAGTAAAGAACTACAACACCACGAAAACCAAGCAACAACAACAAAAAAAGAATTGAAATGAGCATTAGATGTAGCGTTACATGGACATCAGAAAAATAAGACTTGTGCAAAAATATTTATGACCTAGAACAGCGCATTTAAGACTTTAAGGCCTAAAATTTACATTTTTAAGTTATAGACTTAAGACTATTTAAGACCCCGTGGAAACCCTGTGACTTCATGTGTACTTTAAGGTCACACAGAAGGCAGGAAAATACGAGAGGATTTTAGAAACAGCCCAAATTGTGATTCGATAACTCAAATAAAATCCCCAACTGCAGAGAAATGAGTGATGTTTCCCTTCTTCTCCGTCCTTCCTGTAGACCGTCTCGTTTACAGAAACGTGTTCTTCCCTTTTTCCTGAAACAGGAAGCAGCTCCGCCCAGCCTGTCATTAAAGCTCCGCACAAACATTTCTCCAGTGCGATCAAAGTGAAGACTCATTCCCAGTAACTGCAAGATTACACTACGAAGATGCAAACAATCATGTGGTGATTATAGAGGCATGTGTTATAGCCAAACTACCAGACAGACAGAGCACGAAGAGCTGCGGGAGGTCGGGTCAGGGCCCAGACATGCTGATCTGTGAGTAACGTGTCCCAACAATGCAATCAAATCCTTTTATTTACAATATCTCCACAAAAACACACATGTAGAGTTGAAGTCAATGTTATTAGTCCTCCTGAATTATTAGCCCTCCTGTATATTTTCCCCAATTTCTGTCTAACGGACAGAAGACATTTCTAAACATAATAAATTTAATAACAGATTTATTTTATCTTTGACATGATGACAGTAAATAATATTTTACCAGGTATTTTTAGGACACTTCTATACAGCTTAAAGTGACATTTAAAGAGCCCCTATTATGGGTTTTTCATGCAGTGTGTAACAGCTCTAGGTAAACGAAAACATCCAGCTGAGGTTTAAATCTGAAAGTGCAGGGTGTTTAAATCTACTGATTCTTTAACGAAATAATCGATTCAGCGAATAAATGAATCAAGTTGGGTTCGGATGTTTTCTTTGTATGTGTCGACGTCGATATGGTACATCACCAAATATGTAGTTCCATATCCGGGAAAATGTAAACATGCATTTGACAACAGACATTAGCACAGCGCTGAGGATCACAGGACTGATCGTGACGTGAAGATGACGATCAACTGCATTGCTTTATTGCATTCCGGCATTGTGCTCTCGCATACTCTCTGGCTGCTACTTCATAGCCGTGATGGGTTTTTTCCTCTGTCTCGTGCTGAACGCAGTCGACCAAACACAACAGACTGGGTCATCGGACCAATCAGAGCAGATTAACTTCGCGCTAGGGAGGGGTTTGGGAACAAATAGTTCGCTGAATGAATCATACGGGAGTCGTTGGAATAATTAGGTCAAAATAAATGCCTATTATAAGACAATGAAAGTGTTTTTTGACCTTGCATGCAAATCTGCATGTTGTTGGAGACCCCCAAAACTAAAAGTATGACCATTTATTAAGCAAAATAGGGGCTCTTTAAAGGTTTAACTAGGTTAATTAGGCAAGTCATTGTATAATGATGGTTTGTTCAATAAAACTTGACTTGAAAAAGAGCAAACAGACAATTTTTGGTGGGAAAAAGATGGTCATTCACTTTAACTTCTTGCAATGGCTGCACAGTCAATCTAAATGAAATCATGTGTAAGGGCACATTTTTTCATATATTTTGGTCTTGTGTTTACATCCAACCATTTTAGGGAGGGGTTCATTCTGCAAACCAGGAGAGAATTGGAAAACATTTTATTTTCTCCCCCTTACTTTTTCTGTTGAATGACATTCCTGAAGACTCTTTTGACTCAGAGCTCAAACCTGTTTACAACTCTTACATTTCTGGCTAAGAAGTGTATATTACTAAAATTGTCTACTTCTCAAATTCCAACTATTTCCATGTGGATTGCTTTAGTTGTCTTTCGTCCTTTGGAAAAATTAACTTATGACCTCAACCACAAACTCAGGAGACTTTGGAAATCTCTTTAATCCTTTCTACATAAACTCTGAAATTTATATTTTAAGAGTTTCGGCTTCTTTTGTTTTATTTTAATAATCTTTATTATTATTTTATTATTATTATTATTATTATTATTATTATTATTACTATTTTAAACGTACATTTGTATTTTTTTATTTAATTTGCAGAGCTTGTGGATGGTTTGTTTGTTTGTCCGATTGTCTTTGTTGTTTATTTGAACATCCTTAAAAAATAAATAAATAAATAAATAAATAAATAAATAAATAAAAGAAAAGCATGGTGTGTTCAGGTGTAAAGGTCCTCCAAAAGCCAGAGGGCGCTCCTGCACAGAAACTCTAAAAGATGAAGAAACTCAAAAAATCCCAAAAGCAATTATTCAATAGACAGAAGATTTAACTGCTTTTGTTTAGGCATGGAAAAGGAAAAGGTAGAAAAGTCAAGGTTTTAAAATGGTCAAATGTTTCTGCTATACCATTCCTAAGGTATGAGTACATTTTTTTATTTATTTACATTTTTTTTTTTGTTAGTTTTTTTAAAGACATCAGTATCTCCAGCAGAAAAGATCTCCAAATATACCAT